TTGGTTTTTAATTTCCCATTTTCATTGTAAATAAAGATCAGACATTATAGCTGCTTTTGGAATTGGGCTTACACTCCAATAAACCCACTGGAAGTTGAAAATATCCTATGTTGAAAATGCAAAGCTGAAAATATCCTAAGTTGAAAATGCACTGAGCCTGGGCATGGTGGCTCACACCTATATTCCCAGCACTGGGGGAAAAGGATCACTTGAGTCCAGGAGTTCGAGACCAGCCTGGGCAACACAGCAAAACACCAACTCTACAAAAAAATTTAAAATTAGCCAGGTATGGTGGCATGTCCCTGTACTGCTAGTTACCAGGGAGGCTAAGGCAGAAGGACACCTTGATCCCAGGAGTTCAAGGTTACAGTGAGCTATGTATGATTGCACTACTGCACTCCAGCCTGAGTGAGACCCCGTCTCTAAAAAAAGGAAATAGAAAAATTGGCCAGGTGTTGTGGTACATGTAATCCCAGCTACTCAGGAGGCTGAAGCAAGAGGGTTGCTTGAGCCCAGGAGTCTGAGGCTGCTGTGAGCTGCGACTACACCACTCACTGCACTCTGCCCAGGGTGACACAGCAAGACTCTTGTCTCAAAAAAAAAAAAGAAAAAGAAAAAGAAACTTACCTTAGCCTACAAACTAGGCAAAATCATCTAACACAAAGCCTATTTAGTAATAAAGTTACGTATCTAACATAATTTACTTAGTAACATACTGAAAATCATAAACAGAATGGTACTTGAAGTATGGTTTCCACTGAATATGGCCTGCTTTTGTACCAACATAAAGCTGAAAAATCCTAAGTTCAACACTTGTATAGGAAAAGGGTATTTCTAGTTATGATGAAATTTAAACCCATTTTAGACTCAAAAATAATCAAAATATTGTACAAATATTATTCCATGAGACTTTAAAACATTTACCATCAAGGGAAGAAACAGGCAAGTTATAAATTATAAATTCCCTGGCAGATCTGAAGCTAAGTAACACTCAATCCTCCTGCCTCATTCCCTGGGGGGGGGGGGCCGCATATGAGTACTTCCTCTTTTTAAATCTATCTTTTGTTATTATTTGAATATTTTGATTTAGAATTAGGGTTTGAATTTTCCAAACTCATCAGCCTTATTAGGCAGACGTCATGAAGTATTTCATAAGTGAACAGCGTCAAGGGGCTAGCATTTCAAAACTCACCCACTGAACAGTGAAGCATTAACCAAGAAAAGTCCAGCCAGGGGCAAAGGCAAACACAGCAGTTGGCTTCTGCCCCCGGCACTCAGAACCCGGCTTATTTATAGCCTTTCATGCAGGGCCTGCAGGAGGCCAGCAGCCAAGGGGGTGATGCATGGCCAGGCCCTGAGGCTGGGTGGGTTTGGTTTTGTTCCCCAGCACATGGGAAACCACCTCTGTTGGTTACATGCTCGCTCCAGTACTGGGAGCACGAGTTGGCTTCTCAGCGGGAACTTTCCTTCACCTGCCCAGAGAAACACCACCGGCTCCAGGCTGCCCCAGCTCAGCCTGAGTCACTCCACTTCCCAACACGGAGGGGTAAGGCCAAAGCCGTGTAAAAATAACTGGTCTACTACTGCTAACAGGACACTGCAAATGTTGAGTTGCTCACTCACCAAGAATTATAAATAACTACTTCATTTTAAGCTTCCAGTGTCTCCTGCCCCTGCCCCTAAATCACCCTATCGCTTTGCAAAGAGCTCTTCACCGTGCATACCTTGACTGCCCTGAGACAGTCCAGGCGGAGTTCTCTGAAACAGTCAACACAGGCGGGGGAGCTCCTTCTTTCCCACTCCCATTTTTGTGGCTTGTTCTCTGTTTTGGGAAATCCAATCATTAAAATATAGGAAGCAAACACGTAAACAATGAGTGATAAACCCACAGATTAGTCTCACTCACCCTCCCGAGACACTAAGAAACGGAGCCATCTCTATGCCCCGCCAGGAAACACAGGCTAGGATATCCACCTCCCAGCAGCCGGGGACCAGCCTGGTTTTCACTTAAATCAACTTGACTTAAGTGGCCTCACTAGCATCCACCACAACCAAATGTCAAGTTCAGGAGAGATGAGCTTTCGGGTCTCAGACAAATAAGATCAGAGCTGTCTCATACAAGACTATCCCTGAACATATTTCCAAGCACAGTTAGACTAACAAAAGGAGACACCTGTAAAACCACCTCAGGGGATTGCCCTGCATGGGGTGGAGCTGGAGCTGCCAGAGGGAGCTACTTAGGCTCCAAGGACCCAGCTGCCACCCTCAGTGACCTTGGGCTGACAACTTATCACATAAACACTTTTAAAATCTGTAACTTGGGCCGGTGGCTCATGCCTGTAATCCTAGCTCTCTGGGAGGCCAAGGCGGGCAGATTGCTCGAGGTCAGGAGTTCAAAACCAGCCTGAGCAAGAGCGAGACCCTGTCTCAACTAATATATGTAGAAAAAAATTAGCCGGGCATGGTGGCACATGCCTGTAGTCCCAGCTACTTGGGAGGCTGAGGCAGGAGGATTGCTTGAGCCCAGGAGTTTGAGGTTGCTGTGAGCTAGGCTGACGCCACGGCACTCATTCTAGCCTGTGCAACAAAACGAGACTCTGTCTCAAAAAAATAAATAAATAAAATAAAATCTGTAACTTGGATTAAAGTTGGAAATTTCACAGAAGTCACTATAAATGGAATTAAAGAGCAAATGACTATAAATGAGAAAACGTTTTACAATATATTAAACAAATCTATCCAGATGATAGAAATAAACCCACAAATCAAAGAAAAATAGGAAAAAAAAAAAGGCAAAGATGAAACCAGTGCAAATAAGAGGAATCTAAGTAGCCAATAAATTTATGTGTAGAGACAGGGTCTTGCTATGTTGCTCAGGCTGGTCTCAAACTCCTGGCCTCAAGTGATCCTCCCACCTCGGGTTTCCAAAGTGCTGGGGTTACAGGCATGAGCCACCTCATACCACCTCAATAAATACATATGTATATAAGGTGTTTTTTTTTGTTTTTTTACAGACAGGGTCTTGCTCTTTCATCCAGGCTGGAGTATTTACTGCATCCTCAAACTCCATCCTCCTGCCTCAGCCTCCCGAGTAGCTGGGCCTACAGGGATGCACCTCGAGGTTCAGCTAATTTTTCTATTTTTAGTAGAGATGGGGTCTGGCTCTGGTTTCAAAAGCCTGACCTCAAGTGATCCTCCCGTCTCAACCTTCCAGAGTGCTACAATTACAGGCGTGAGCCACCCACTGCACCCAGCTGGCAGCTGTATTTCCAAAAGCAGAAGGCTGGGAATCACCTGAGCACCATCAAGAGGGGCTGGATGAATAGGTGATGACGCTGGCCTGCCACTCAGCTGTAACAAAACAGACAGTCTCTATAGCTGATGTGGCACGTTCTACTAGAGATACCAAGAATAAACACAGCTAGGGACATAACAGCATGCTCACAACAACACTACCTTTGGGGAAAGTGTGGGAGATAACCAGATATTTGCATTTATTTACACATGCATAAAAACCTCTGGTAGCCCAACTAAGAGAAAAGTAACAGTGGTCCTGTGGTGGGGGTGAGCAGACAGCCAGGCAGAAGGGGTTGAGAGGAAGGAGAATTCACTATATACCTTTTATTTATTTCATTTTAATTGTTTGTGTCTATCCTGGGACAGCTGTGCCCAACTGCAGCGGGAAAGGCAGGACTGAGGAGTCCTCCTATGTCAGCTCCCATCTTCTTTCTACATCTTCATCAGGACTTTGCATATTTCTGTTAAGAATTTATCCTGAGCTGCAATTCCAGTTACATTTACTCTGTGCCCCCCCCCCTTTTTTTTGAGACACGGTGTCTCTCTGTTGCTGGGGCTATTGTGCAGTGACATCATCATAGCTCACTGTAACCTCGAACTCCTGAGCTAAAGCGATCCTCCTGCCTCAGCCTCCCCAGTAGCTGGGACTACAGGTGTATGCCACACACCTAATTTTTTTGTATTTTTTGTAGAGATGGGGGTCTCCCTCCCTTGCTCAGGCTGGTCTCCAACTCCTGACCTCAGGCAATCCTCCTGCCTTGGCCTTCCAGAGTGCTAGGATTACAAGTGCTAGTTCCAGAGTGCTAGGCCTTCCAGAGTGCTTGGCCCTGATTTCATTTGGGTAAAAACGTGTGCATGACTCTACATATATATATGGACAGAAATTTTTCTAAAATTTTAAGGGCGGGTTTATCTTTGATTGCTGGGGTCTCTGATGAGCTTTTATTTTTCACTAAGTACAGGGAGTCCTGTGCAGAATCAGATGAGTTTTACTCTCTTCCTTGCTGTTGTGTTATTTGGATGTTTTCTCAACAAAGTATGAGCGCTGACTGACCATCAGCAATCTGCCAACGTTTAAGCACAGAGAGCCCTGAACTCTGGACTGATTAAACCTCTCCTGCAACAGGTGTGAAACTGCCCCCCAGAGAACGACCCAACCTGGCAAGGGCGGGAATCACCCCCTACACCTCTACCCTCCTCTGCACAGACCCGCCTGTCACCGGGGACGCCCGCTGGGACCCCTGCCTCGACTGACTCCAGCTCCTCCTTCTCGCCCATCGCGGCCTGCGCCCAGCCAGGGGCAAGGGAGGAGCCGGCAGACTCCAGCTGGTGTCCCGCCCGGACCTCCAGGGGTCCCAGCCTGGGCCCCCCCGCGGGGGCACCCCTCAACCCGTCCGGACCCCCAACCCCCAACGTGGGCAGCACCAAGGCTGCTCCCTACCCCCACCCGGGAACATCTCCTCTCTGCACCCAGGCCCCGCGCCCGTGGCAGGTCCCCCAACCCTGGGGTCACCTCCGCCCCCACCCAGGTCTAAGCACCCAACCCGATCAGGACCCCTCCTCCTCCAGCGCCCCCTCCTCCTCCGGGGCCCAGGCCACTCCCCTGCCCCTGCCAGCATCCCCGCCCCCTCCCAGGTTCGAGACCCCGCCGCCCCAGGACCCCCGCCCCCGCCCAGGCCCGACCCCGCCGCGCGCGCACTCACCCTCCCGGCAGCGCCGCCTCCAGATGGTGTCGGTGTGCAGGATGCGCCGGAACTTGGTGCAGACCTGGGCCAGGCTGGGCAGGTCGGTGCCGGGCAGCGAGGCGAAGATCTCCACCAGCAGCTCGGGCGGCAGCTCCAGCAGCGAGCAGCGCGGGGGCGGCGCGGGGCCCGCGCACGGGCTGTCCCCCAGCCCGGCCAGTGTCGCCGCGCCC